AAAGCATAATAATACACTAGGGCCTCGTTTGCTAACATATATTAAATTAGACTGAATTAGATTAGATTGGATTAATTCTGACTAATTAACTAATTAATTAGTTATAATATGTTCGGTTCTTGAGATTACGTGTTGTATTAAATTTGTTAGATTCTGTTATTATATGTGAATTATCTACAAATTCTTTTATTTAATAAAATTAAGTTATTGCTTAAGGATAAAATTATAATTTTCCATCCTAGTCACCCTGATATGATCCAGCCATGCATCGAAGCTAGTGCAGAAATAACCGAATTGCAAACTCTTTCAACGCAAGCCGATGAAGATGGTGTGTTCTGCGATGTGCTGCAGAGATGTGTTGGTTTGCTCCCAAAGATAGAGATCGATCATGAGATCGATTTTTTTTATACTCCTTGTGATATTTGCCCGGATTCGAGGACGAATCCTTTTATAGAGGGGGAGTATGATACGATCCTATCAAGCTCCAAGATGAAGAATTGGAAGAAGTGAAACCGTACGAGTTTAAAGAGGCTATTCGAGTTGTCATTGAAGAATAAATGTTTGAATCAGACTGTTGAAGGGTTCGTGGTTTGGAATTGGAAGAAAAGGAAAAGGGAAATTCGTTGGCCAAGTCGAATTTTGTGCATCCTGAAAGTCCCGCATGATTCTGGCAGAGTTTACCATTCGGCTTATAACTCTCTCATCTGATGTCCATTTACGGTGATTCAAAATGGTATGAAAAGCCAACAGAAAGATCTACAACTTTTGGGTTCCGAGCAGAGAGAGATTCGGAGTGGAAGATGGCATAAATCGAGCTTGAAGTTCTTGAACGTGCACAGCCCAATATCTACACGAGTTGAGAAGGGTGATCGAGAAGTCGACTTGATGTTCAAGTTATTGAATTTTATTATGCACGCTTTTTTATTTGGGATTTATTATGTTTTTATTATTTTAGAGTCTTTTATGGTTAGAATTTGCTTATTTATAAGTTTCCTTATTATAGATTAGGTAGGAGTCATTTTCCTTGTGGAAAAACGTTTTTTTAGCACTTATTAATAGGTGCCAATTTGGCTATTTTCAT